ATGAATTTCTTACTTTAACTTAACCAAAACTGAAACCCAATGCTCCGGGATTTGAGCTTGAGTCTTACACTCAGATCCTCCTGGCAATTGGGGACATTCCCAATATCACATATAAATCTCCTATTCTTGGTCCTTTATATGTGATATTGTATTTTGTTTTATTTGTTTGTCTTTTTTCTAGATTTACCTGTTTTTCTCAAGTTTTTCAGGTCGTTCTTTCTCCTTTTACACAGCGCATAATAGCTAAAGTTAAAGGAACAATGGCCTCCTAAGTGTATAGGTTTGATTTACATTACAATAATTTCTTTTGTAAGCATGCTATACTATCTTTCTTCTCTGTTGTACAATACATTGTTGCTTTTCCTTCACACTGCATGTTTTACTGCTTAGTTTTTGTACCATGCTTTAGTATAGGATAACCTACTGGTTAGGTGTATTTTCAAAATTAAAACTAAACCAGAAGGTTGTACTACGAGGAGTTTGGAGCAAACATCACGGGCAGCACGGCAAAGAACAACTTTAAGATGAATTTGTAATAACAAAATAATTTTCACAACACTATACACTTTCCTTAGTTTAAATAATAACCCTTAGGAATTCGAGGTGGCTTGCCCGACGCAGCGTAAAACCCTCACATGTCACTTTTAGGCTTTTTGCACAACCTTGTTGTGTAATTATAAGTCCTAACACGTTAGGATTCCAAGGTTACCATGCAGTACAGTGTAAATTCTCCTATCTTTTTATGTTATTGGCACAGGCCGATATTGTGTAAACATAAGTCCTAAATCGTAAATAATTTGTAGAATTGAAATATCAAATAAACATCACTTCAAAGACCTAAAACTAAATATTAGGATAGTTGGGACATCTCTGGGGTTTCTCCTGGATCTTTGATGTCTCCTATTACTCATTCCTTTGAATTCCTTAAGATAATTGTTCTTATTTTGAGCCATTCCCATTTGATTTTCTCATGTCTAATCGTGAAAACATAAACTTTGAAATCTAGAAGGCAACACCACCTGATCTTAATTGAGAATTTTCTTAAGTGACCCCGAGTCATTTAAGATGTAATTAACTATAGGAGATTGCCTCTATAGGGAACTTGGAACCCATATAAAATAAACCATATCTAATTTTTTTATGTTAGGTAGGGGAACTTGTTGGCCTTTTTATAAAGTATTTCGCAGACTAAAATGGATGTCACAAATTCTTTAGTTTAGGTGATTGAATTCCTATTACAAGTGATATATTTATTCTTCGAGATAAGTGTGTTACTTGTAGTATTGTATTCAATCATCTAAACTATTTAAAATGTGAGACCCGTTTGGTCTCATTTATTTTAAAATTAAAATGTTACTTTTAAAAATAAAAAAGGTTATATGCATATTTAAATTATTTTTAAAATCACAAAATCATCACTTTTTCAAATCACGAAGTTAAAACGACCGACAGGGATCTCGATAATTAAACTCCAATATTCTCTAAAAGTTCAAGAGAACTTTGAATATGAATCTTTTTGCCTTGAAAATTGAGTTGAGGTAGTATAAGCAAAAGAAGAGTACAATGTTTTGTACTTGTATGAAATATCTATTGGTGTTAATATTTCTCCATCTTTTTTAATGAATTAGGGTTATGATAATGTCAATAAGGAATAAAGGAAACCAGACAGAATAAAGAGTTTCCCTCTTCACAACTGCAAAGAAGGAAATATTATATTTGCATAAGATTCTTTCCTTTTAGCTGGATATTTAGATTAGGAATATGTATTAATTAAGTTACTTAAAATAGATTATAAAAAATATTATGTACCTAAAATAGATTGTACAAACTATTATTTATTGAAATAAAAGCAAAGTAAAAGACATTCAACGTATTTGCTCAAAATATTGACATGATATCAGAGCGGCCAAGTGTGAGTTCGGCCAGTCGAACAGAGGGAGCGATCGAGTGATAGTTCGGAAAGCAGTCAAGTGATAGCGGCAGTTCGGGAATTCTGGCAGGGGAATAGCGGTCGAGCGAGCAACACAGAGGAAGCAGTTAGGGCAAACAAGACTAGCTCTCAACGAGAAGCAGACGACTCCCAATATTCAGATGCTAAATATTCGACATGGCTTTATATTTGTGATAGGCATGTTTCAGCATCGATATCTCCCATATCTGTATCTTCGGCTTTGTTATAGTCAACGTATTTCAGCGCTGATATACTTCCTAGATCGTGTCACTCTAAGGATAGGGGGCTTCAGCTTTGGCTTTGGACTCCTCTCCTAATTTATGGCAGTGCACAATTTTTTGAATCTTTCAGGTTTATTTAGATCAACGATTGGGATTTTTTTTTTGATATCTTGCGTTTCTTTGATTTCTGGTTGATTTTGATCAACAAAAATTCTATTTAGAATGTTTTCTGAAATCCTAACTATCAGATTTACGTGTAAGAAATATGTCGCATGGGAATTTCAGCACATAATGTTATTAAATGACGGGTCTTCTCCAGCACCAACTGAGGCAAAAGATATTTGTCAATGGGAATCAAAGGATGCTCAGATTATTTCCTGGATTTTAGGATCTTTTGAGGCTTATATGGTGAACAATTTATGATCCTTTGACACAACTGAAGAAATGTAGGAATACTTGAAGTGTGTTTATAATCAAGATAATTCTGTGAAATACTTCCAATTGGAACTTGACATGAGTAACTATAGTCAAGTTAATCTTTCAATTGAACAATATTATTCTGGCTTTCTAAATTTGTGGAGCGAATGTACTGATATTATCTATGCTAAGGTGTCAAAGGAGAACTTAGCTAGTCTTCAAGCTATTGATGAAGAAAGTCATCGTGATTAGTTTATAATGAAACTCAGACCTGAATTTGAAACTACTGGAGCTAGGTTGCTAACAGAGATCCAGTTCCTTGTTTTGATGTGTGTTTTGCGCAATTACTGCATGAAGAACAAAGATCGGCGACACAAATTGCTATCAGTACAACAGGTCAATCATTAGAAATAATTAAAATGGCATATGCTGCTAAGACGAAAGGTAAGGGACCAATGCAGTGCTACAACTGCAAGAAATTTGGTTATATTGCACGATATTGTGAAAATAAGTTATGTAATTATTGCAAGCAAAAGATACATACTCTTACGGTACACGACCCCAAAACCGCATATCACAAGCACTTTATCCCACGATATTCGACACTCACAATCCTAGCTCGACATCCACAGTTGCTGCTAATAATCAATCAGCTGTCAAACTATATATGGTTAAACAAATGATTCTATCTGCCTTTTCTGCTCTTGGTCTTCACGGGAAAGGTAACACTATTACTTCCTTTCCTTCTCCTTGGTTTGTTGATTAAGGCGACACAAATCATATGAATGACACAGCTGATTTATGCCTAACTATTGCGCGTACACTGGTACTCAACATATTCAGGTTGCTGATGGAAATAATATTTTAATTATGACAATTAGTGATATTAACTCCTTTAGACATGTCTTGGTTCCTCCAAAATTATCTACTAACTTACTCTCCGTTGGACAAATTGTGGATAATAAATGTGACGTACATTTTTATCATGATGGTTGTATTGTGCAAGATTAAGTGTCAAGGAAGGTGATAGCGATGGGGCCTATAGTGGGCAGACTGTTTCCATTACAATTTATTGTTCTAAGAATATGTCATTAGCTTCTTCATTTATTGAGATAAAAGAAAGCATCTGACATAGAAGACTGGGCCATCCAAATGATATGGTGTTGAAGCATTTACTTAAAAGTGGTGTTTTTTATTCTACAGATAATAGTTTAGTAGTTGACTATTCTGTTTTAAAACTGAAAAAAGTAAGAAATTACCTTTTCCTATTTCAAACAATCGTGCCAATAAATTTTTTAAAATTTTTCATAGTGATGTTAAGGGAATTACGCCAGTGATTTCACATGCTCAATATAGATATTTTGTGATATTTATTGATAATTGCAGTCGATTTACTTGGATCTATTTTTTGTGTTCCAAATCAAAAGTATTCACTATATTTCAAACATTTTTAGCATATATTGAAACTCAGTTCCTTGCTTGCATTAAAACCTTACAGTTTGACAATGACAGTGAATACATGTCTCGTGAGTTTCAAGTATTTCTCCATAACAAAAGCTATTGTTTCACAATGTTCATGTCCCTATACACCGCAACAAAATGAAGTTGGTGAATGAAAAAATCAACATCTATTGGATATTGTGTGCACATTACTGATAGAATCTTCTGTTCCAGCTAAATTTTGGACTGAAGCTTTATCTACTGCAGTTTATCTCATTAATCGTTTACCATCTTAACAATTAAAGTATGATTCTCCCAACTATCGACTTTTTGAGAAACATACTAATTATAAGTTGGTAGCTTAGTCAGTAAGATGTGACTTTATGGGGTACAGTCCTAATCATAAAGGTTTTATGTGTTATGATTTGATTAATAGTCGATGGCATATTTCTCGAAATGTGATTTTCTTTGAACTTGAATATTATTTTTAGCATCATGTGTTGACACCAAATACAGTTATACTTCCATAATTTGATAATTCTTCTGCTCATAAAAGGTTCAAGCCGGACATTGTCTATAAATGACGCCTGCCTACTTCACCTTCAATCCTCCCCGACCTTGATCCTGAAAGTGCAGTAACAAGTATTTGACGATCAACCTGGCGTATCCGTCCTACAGATAGATATGGGTATTCTGTGATTTTAACTAATACTATTGTTCCTACCTCTTACTTTTGGGCCGCTAAACAGTCTTATTGGGTCAAAGCCATGTAAGAAGAAATTCAGGCACTTCAAGACAATCACACTTGGGATATTATCTCATGTTCTACAAGTGTTAAACCCATTGGTTGTAAATGAGTTTCTTCTCGTAAACTCCTATCTGATGGCTCTCTTGACAGATATAAGACAAGATTGGTAACACTTGGCAATCGACAGGAATACGGGATTGATTATGAATAAACATTTGCACCTATGGCTAAGATGACCTCTATCTGGTTGATATTATCTATTGCTGCATCTAAAGGCTGGTTGTTAAAGCAGATGGATGTTAAGAATGCATTCTTACATGGGGATCTCAAAGAAGATGTCTATATAACTCCTCCACCAGGATTGTTTTCTACAGCTTCGCATGATGTTTGTAAGCTCAAACAGTCCCTATACGATTTGAAATAGGCTCCACGAGCCTGTTTTGAAAAGTTTCACAATACCTTTCTTAGCTTCACAATACCTGTCTCTATTAACTTATTTTTTAGGACTCGAGATTCACTCTTTTCCTGCTAGTATTTTTCTTCATCAGCACAACTGTACTAAGGGACCCATTACTTTGGTTGGTCTTCAAGATGGTCATTCTGCTGATACTCCTTTGAGAGTAAATGTTAAATATCAACAGAATAATGGTTATTTTCTATATGAACCATCTCTATATCAACAATTAGTTGGGATTCTCAATTATGGGACTATTACGAGTCCTGATATTTCATTTGCTGTGCAACAAGTTAGTCAATTTATGAAACCACCTACAGATCTTCATTTAGCTGCAGTTTGACGTATTGTTTGTATTTGAAAGGTACTTCTCATCGTGGGTTGTTTTTTTCTGCGGAGTCTCCTATTATCTTAATAACCTGTAGTGATGTCGATTGGGTTGGTTGTTCGGATACACACTAATCTATTACTAGATGTTGCACGTTTCTTGGCAACTCTTTAATCACTTGGAAGAGCAAGAAACAAGATCAAGTGTCTAAGTCATCTACTAAATCAGAATATCGCGTTATGTCCTCTGCTTATTCCAAGATCATTTGTCTTCTGGGTGGAGCTTGGTTTTTCTCAGCTTGAGTCTACTTCTCTTCATGCGGATAATACTAGTGCTATCCAAATTGCTGCTAATCCCGTCTTTCTTGAGCGCACGAAACACATTGAAGTGGACTGTCATTCCATTCAAGAAGCCTATGAGGATGGTGTTATATCTCTTCCTCATATCACTTCTGATCTTCAAACCGCTGATATATTTACTAAGGCTCTTTCTCGACAACGTCATCTATTTCTTGTCGGCAAATTGATGCTTCTTGATCAGCCAGTATCAATTTGAGGGGGAATATCTATCAGAAATAAAGAAAATCAGATAGAATAAAGAGTTTCCTTCTTCGCAATGCTGCAAAGAAGGAAATATTATATTTGCACAAGATTCTTTCCTTTTAGCTGAATATTTAGATTAGGAATATGTATTAATTAAGTTACCTAAAATATATTATACAAAATATTATGTATCTAAAATAGATTGTACAGATTATTATTTATTGGAATGTTTATTGGAATGAAAGCAAAAGAAAAAGGCATTCAACCTATTTGCTCAAAATATTAAGAGGTAAAAAGTTTAAAGAGTGGAATCATAGTTTTGATGAGAAATAGTGATGAATGTAAGAAAATCTCTCTAAATTGTTCCTCGATTTTGCTTGAATTTATAGTTCATTTACTTATTGTTGCTTAGTTGAATATTTATTAGTTGATTCATTCTGTAAATATTCTTGTGTTTAGTTTAGTATAATGAGATGTATGTTATTATTATCCTCAAATCTCTCTTACTAACATAAGTTTATGTTGTGAACTACTTTTTATTATTTTATGGACACAAGTTTATGTTGGTCGTTGGTGTTTGATGATATTAGAACTTATATTTATGCATGAAGCAATTTTTTTTGAGCATTTTATTTACAACACTCGCACATATATCCTGTAGGCCAACTATTATACGGTTATACTTTTTAACTTTTCTTCTTTCTTCTATGCTTATCATGTAAAACGTTTCAAGTGCATATTATCTAACAACTTATATTTCCATAAATCGTTTTAGACACTCATTTATATTTGCATTTTGTGTTTGATTAACTTTTTAATTGTTTAATTATTCAGAGTTTGGTTCATTACTATTCGGATTTTAAGATAAGAGAATTTTGAAATTAATTTTAATATTTTTTAAATCATATTCTTTCATTGATCAGGACTTCCATGAATTTTTGCAGGTTATGTGCCCACTCCAAAATAGCATTGACAATTAGTTCCATTAATATATCAAATAATATGACCGTTCCTGACTGAAATAAATTAGAGCTTGTTCATTATTGTTTGATTAACTAATTGAGTAAATTTGCACGTTTTTGTAAATTCTGATTTAATTAACTCCCTGATTTATTTATTATCATAAACAATATCATTTAAAGATTATGAACAATGAACCTTTGGAAGCTTTAAATAAAGCTGATTAAGACTTAATCATGAACGATATTATTTTAAATTTATTTTTTATGGTTTATAGGGTCATTATTTTTCAAGCAAGTTACTCTTATAAGGTTCAATTAAGGCTTTTTTTTTTAGCTAAACGAGCTATGCGTTAAACGAGCTATGCGTTGAAAAGCTCAATAATCTCATTATGTATTGAGTTCTAATTAAGCTTAAGCTGAGTTCAAGCACACTAATCTTAAACCAATCTAGCTTAAACACAATCATAAAAGCTCAAATCAAATTTAACATAGCTCAAATTAAATTTTGATAAATGAGCTCGAGGTCTAACTTGAACATGCTCTTGCTCCACTTAACTCTGTTCATTTGCAACCTTACATGCAATACTGAAATTATAAAAAATTAAACAAATCAACGTCACCATGAAAATTGTTGCATATTATAATTAAACAAATCAAAACATTGCATTTACATTGTAAGAAATGCCACGACTAATGAAGATATTCATTTTTCTTCTTAAAAAGAATTATTTTTTCTAAAATATGGCAATTTACTCTATTATAACATTGTTAAAACCAACATTTGAATACTTCAAAAGTTTTCATGCAAATAATCCTTTTATGCTCCAAAAAGCCTTCAAAGCGTACAAATTCAAATAGAGTACTTAATGATATAAAGTAAAGTCATTAAATTATGGTATTTTAGGAGGGACCAATAGCTTGGGAGGAAGCCCCTATATCACTCATCACATCGATATCAACACTCAAAGGAATACAACTCTTCCTAAGCATTTTGTATCTTCTCATTAGTCTTTGAAATATAATATAAATATTTTCAAACAGAAGAACGTTATGTAATTCATCCTAATGCCAAACTTAATTGTGTAAAATCAATGTGTCCATAAAACCATAGATGAAAACTAAATTAAGATAAAAAAGAATTATGGACGGCTTAGCACCTCGGCCATTCATACTCTTCTTCACCCTTCAATTATTTTCTTTGTTTCAGCACAAGTAAACTCGGTAGAACTCTCCGCTATGATTGTAGATGAATAGAAAAAAGTAAGACATGATATTAATGTTTGAGGCATGAATTAAACATGTTTCCCCATCAAGAACCTTCAAATTAAACATGTTTCATGGTTAAGATGAATCCAATATTAATTGTGCTGTGAAGTTGAATCCAATTTTCATTATGCATTGAAGTTTAAACTTTCGGAACAAAAAAATTAAAAATTATATGAGTTGCATTTAAATTAATAGAAGAAAATCTTACAAATTAATTTATTTACTCAAGCAAAACTTGTGTGGGAGAAAAACATAGTGTTTCATAATATAAAAGAAAAGAAATCTATATCTCCTAAAGAAAAGAATATATTCTATGCTTATGTCTCAAGGTAGTGTTTGATTCAATTAAATTTTTTCCAATAGGACTCTTCTAACATCTATAAATCACGCCCAAGTATTAGTTGTGTATGACCAAAATACAACGAATTGATGATATATGTAAAGGAAAACAACTGAATGATTACATTCCCTCAAGTCACACACAAGCACCACTTTTAGTATATCATAAATCTAGAGAAATAAATCGTTTCATACACTTAGAAATGAAAAGAGAGAGATTACAGTATTTGAATGTGAAAATTGCTCAAGAGAAATCCAAATATAGAAAAATATTACCAAGATTATTATCTCCAAGATCTAATTCCACTTTTCTTCTCTCCAAATGTAGTATTGTCCTGACTTATTTTTCTTACTCACTAACTCTCAATTACACACACACAAACACACGCAAACACATAGACTACGTCACTCATATTGCGTCCATCTCCACACATCTCCACATTTGTCTACAAATGAGTCATCACCTAATAATTCTCCAAAGTGCTCTAGTAACTCTAAAAAATTACTTGAAAATTATTCTATAACAAACTTGTAAGGGATGCAACACAACAACGCTATTGAGTGGCACTATGGTGCCTATAACATAGTGATATGACACCAAGCTATATAACTCTTACTCTGAATCAGCTGCAATCATCAATGTGTTGCTTCAAACATTTGCACTATGGTGCCCTGCTCTTTTTTGTTTTATAGGCCAAATCATTGAATGTTCTAGCACTATGACATCAAATGCCAACATTGCGACTATAAGCTCTTGATTTATAAATCCCAATCTATTTATATCTGCTACTGTTGAGTTTTTGATTCAATGGATAGCTGTTGAAACACAATTGTTTGGCATTATGTTCTCAAGTTCCTAGATCCATTTGCTCCACAAAATGCAGCAACATTGTAAATACAACACTGCAATGTTACCTTGAATTTTTCTCCAAGTCTCTTGCCTTCTTCTTTTTTGGATATTTATGAACAAAAAGATTTAACTAGTGTAAAAAACATTCATAAAAACTTAATTCTAAAAAAAAATTAATTCTATTTTATTTCACTCATCTCACTCAACAAATACCCCCAAACGTAAACTATTACTTATCATCAAGTAATCACATATATGCAAATATGTACTTGGACTTATTTGGTAGTAATTATATTCAAATTTAAACATGATCAAATAATAATTTTAGGTAAAATAAATCAGCATATAAATTTATTAATGACAATAGTAATAAGCCAATAATATCCTAAGTTCTTACTTCCAATATTACTCTTCTAAAAGAAAACTCCCCCGTTGCTTCAAAATATCTATATTTTACTTAATGGATTATAAACAAGCAATTATAATATAATTTTAATATGAATCATTCATATAATCATAACTATTAGCTTCTATCTTAAATTTAATATAATTAATTTTAATTTAATAAAAAATTGATCTTGACATAGAAAAGAACGTAAGGTTTCCATTTTTTATATTAATGTTTAGCCTCAAAATTTTTTTCTTTCTCATTCTATTTTTCATTTTGATCTTTTTTCTATTATTTCTAATTCTAGAGGATCACTTTATTTGCTAAGTATAATAATAACTTTGAATGCCTTTCAATTCTCAAATATATTTCAATCATTCATAATTTAATACTAATATTTTATTTCAAGTACTATATCTGTGTTGATAATTATCATCATAATGTTATATATAAGACTAATAACCAATTAACTAATCAAATTAATTTAAATTTAATTATGTGTATGTTTACTTTAAAGTTGACCATATCAGCAGAGATAATAGTTTCAATAAAAAATTTAGTTATTGTTAAGTTTGTGAATTATTCATTATTTTATAATTTCATACAATTTTAATTTCAAATTTATTCTCTTATTCCTTTTAAATTTAAGATTTTTGCCAAATATTAAATCAAGTCATATACATAAAATGAAAATCACTCAGGCACAATGAATTAATAGAAATCAAACTTTTTTTTAGTTTGCCACAACATTGTTAATGTAACTTTTTGGTGCTTGAAACAAAAGTAAAAAAAAAAACATATAAATTTCGGAACTGGTGTCATGACAAAAATACCAAATTTTTGTGATGCTCTGCTAACTTTAATGCTTCAACAAAAATAAAATTTTTTAAAACTACAAGAAAATTTCATTACTTCCTGCCCCCCACTCTATTCACAAAAAAAAAACTTAATTATAATAGAATAATTAAAACAAATTTATAAATCAAAACAAAATCATGGATACTTGCCAATTCATTCCTCATCTTTCTTCACTTTTTCTTCAACTACTTCTTCGTCTATTGGGTACAATTGCATCCGAAATATTGTTAGAAAGATGGTGCTATAGAAAAAATATGTACAATTAAAGACAACATTCAGCTAGCAATTCTATAACATATGCACGAAAGCTGATTTCAAATCATTCATGTAAGGAATTGTTGTTGTTGTTC